GTGTAAATCTTTTTTGTTTCACTGCTTTATTTTGGATCAAGGACTTCTCTTCACACTTCCAAAGAGGTTTGAAGCTGATGATGTTTGGCTAGAACAAGCATAAACATGAAAACAAATTGTCCTGTTTTTCCTATAGAGTTAATCATTTAAAATAATGTCATTTACCTTAATTCAGTCTCCTTATGTCTATGCAATATGATAGTCTTTAATCACATGATCACACACTATATTTCCTCAGGATCTCTGTATAAGTGTACAGGATGGACCTGACCTGGAGATCAATTGGGGCATGTAGTAAAGGAGACTGTTCTGTATAGGACCCCAGTCTCATTTGTTCCAGAAGCTGGGAGTCATGTTGTGAATGAGATGGGATTGCAGTAATTAAAAGGAAGGTCTCTTCATCAGAGGAACTGATTTCCATCTCAGAGTAATGCTGGACGAGTCACTTAAACCAAACTTTTCACGGGTGGCCACTAATTGTATGTTCCTCGTTTTTCTCTTGCTGCCTGACTTGAGACCCAGAAGTGCTGAGCATTCACAGCTGTAATTGAAGTCAACGGGAGCTGTTCTTTGAAATTATAAGGTGCTATGTGGTGCTAAATACTCTGAAAAATATCTAAAATTGAGAACCCCAATTTAATGGATATTTTTTACTTTAACCTCTCTGTGCCTTCGAGAATAAAAGGAAAATAATAACAAGGGGGTTGTGAGAATAGAACCATCCTGTGCACTGAACGTGGCAAGGGTCCCATGGGAGCAACAGGATGAGTCAAATGTTAGTAAGTCTAACATCACCAGGCAAATTAGTTGAAACTATAGTAAAGAACAGAAGTGTCAGACATATAAATGAGCATAATTTGTTTGGGGAAAAGTCAACATGGTTTCTGTAAAGGGAAATCATACCTTACTAATCTACTAGTGAAAGCGGCGAGGAGTTCTGTGGCACCTTATAGACCAACTGAAGTGTAGGAGCATAAGCTTTCTTGGGCAAAGACCCACTTCGTCTTTGCCCACGAAAGCTTATGCTCCTACACTTCAGTTAGTCTATAAGGTGCCACAGGACTCCTCACCGCTTTTGCAGATTCAGACTAACACGGCTACCCCTCTGATAATCTACTAGTGTTCTTTGAGGGGGCTAACAAGCATGTAGACAAGAGAGAAACAATGGATATAGTGTACTTAGATTTCCAGAAGGTTCCTCACCAAAGGCTCTTAAGTAAAGTAAGTTGTCAAATAAGAGGGAGGTCCTCTCATAGATTGATAACTGGTTAAAAGATAGGAAGCAAAGGCAGGAATAAATGGTCAGTTTTCAGAAAGGAAAGAGGTAACTAGTGGGTCTAAACTAAGACCAATCCTATGCAACATATTCATAAATGATCAGAGAAAGGGGTAAACAGTGATATGACAAAATTTGCAGATGATACCAAACTACTCAAGATAGTTAAGATGAAAGTAGACTGTGAAGAGCTTCAAAAGGATCTCATAAAACTAGGAAACTGGACAACAAAATGGCAAATGAATTTTAATGTTGATGAATGCAAAGTAATGCATACTGGCAGGGGCGGCCCGTGGCTATAGTTGGACTTGGCCGCCGCCTAGGGCACCGCTGCCCGGGGCACTCCATGATGATGTCATGGGGGCGCCCGGGGCGCCTGCCGATGACATCAGTCCATTGATGGCCCTGCAGGTGGAGGCGCTGATCGCGTGTTCCACCTCAGGCCGCTCTTGCATACTGGAAAACATAATTCCAGCTATACATATAAAATGATGAGGACTAAATAAGCTATTAAGACAGAGATCTTGGAGTCACTGTGGATAGTTCTCTGAAAACATCCACTCAATATGCAGCAGCAGTTTAAAAAGCAAACCGAATATTAGGAATCATTTAAAAATGGATAGAGAATAAGGTAGAGAATATTTTATTGCCGCTGTATAAATCCATGGTATGCCCACATCTGGAGAATTGCGTACAGATGTGGTCATCTCATCTCAAAAAACATATCTCAACATTAGAAACAGTTCAGAAAAGGGCAACAAGAATGAACAGTGGTTTGGAACAGCTGCCATATGAGGAGAGATTAAAAAGACTGGGACTTTTCATCTTAGAAAATGGGAGAATAAGCGGGGAAATTATATAGATCTATAAAATTATGACTGGCATGGAGAAAGTAAATAAGGAAAAGTTATTTACTTGTTCCCATAGCACAAGATGTAGGGATCACCAAATTAAATGAATAGATAGCAGGTTTAAAAGGAAGTACTTCTTCAGACAATGCACAGTCAACCTCTGGAACTCCTTGCCAGAAGATTTTGTGAAGGCAGGGACTTTAACAGGGTTCAAGAAATGCTTGATACATTCATGGAGGATAGGTCCATAAATGGCTATTAGCCAGGATAGGTAGAAATGGTGTCCCTAGCCTCTATTGTCAGAAGCTAGGAATGGGTAGCAGGTGGGATCGCTTGATGATTACCTATTCTGTTCATTCTGTCTGGGGGCACCTAGCATTGCCCACAGTCCGAAGAAAGGATACTGAATTAGATGGACCTTTGGTTTGAGCCAGTATGACCATTCTTATGTTCTTAGGATATGATCATGTAATTAAAAACTGGCATGTAATGCATACTCACAAGGGGGGCAAGTTAAGGTTGCACAAATAACTTTAATTTTGATATTTCCTATCTTTTGAATTTAAATCATATGACTTCTTCATCCCAGCTGTCTGGATGCTAACAGGAGATAGGATCTCTTTCATTTATTGTGATGGGCATTACACTGGCCCTGAGCAACTCAGGCAGCCCTTATAGGTAATGTACTTCTGAGCCACTGACACCTGAGGCTCAAGCATGATCACTTGCTCGGTAGGGATTGGTGCATGTTAGGGGAGTACAAGGAGCTGTGAGAGACTCAAACACGCTCAGTGAGGGTGGAATTTGTGTAGATTATAAGAATTAAACTCTAGCAAGTCTCTACTGAGCATGTGCAAACTATAATTTTTGCAAAGGCTCACATCTTGGTGAAATGTGGGTGGATTTTCACAGGGTTGGCAAAAGGCACCTCTTGACACAAAGATCATCCCTTGTGAAATGTCAATACCTGCCCCACAATGGGTGGCTGTTAGGGCATTTCAAAGAAAAGATTTCCATAATTATTTAACAATGGTTGAACAATGTATTTTCCTCTAATCTCAGTCTCAGAAACATCTGGACTTTTGGGATTGAAATTCTGCAAAACTATTTGGCCAGCGGCAGACACCTGACATGGAAAATTTCAGCCAAAACACTTACTGTTTAGCAAGGTTATAAGCAATTAAAAAGTAGGCTCTTATACTGGGAAGTGCCAGAGAACTTTAATAATATATAATGCTACCGGCCCCAGTTATGCAGAGTCTTCAGAATCAGGACCTCCTCCTAATTCTCCGCCAGCTCTGTTACTGACTTGTTGGCCTATGATATAGATGCCACTCTGTCCATGCTATGCTGTCCCAGTTGAAGTCAGAAGAAAAGCCCAAGCTGGATACTTCCTCTACATGAAAAGAGGGATGGAGTTGATAGGACATTATTTGAGAGAGTCCTGAGCTTTGAATTCACTTTCTTGCATGGTAAGGAACGGTCCATACATTGAGCTTGAGGTGAATCTCAAGGCATGCCCTCTTTACTCAGGCTTTTGGAGACAATGGAGTATTATAAGGGTGGGCAGTCTTGTAAGAATGTTATAATTATTTTTGTCATTATTTTCAGGTTTTGAGGTGGGTGATTTTGGCTATATTTTTAATGTTTTGTTTTAAAGAATTTAAAATTATTTATATTATAAATCCATATATATATATAATGGCTATTTATACTACTTCTCAACCTCAAAGTGCTGTGAGACTTAATTTATGTTCATAAAGCTCTTTGAGATCCTTGAATGAAGAGGCTATTGCTGCCTAGTGTCTATGGTGAAAGAGATATTAGAATCATGTTGTCAACTTATATCGGGGTGGAGAACCTAAGGCTTAGGGGCTGGATGCAGCCCCCAGCTTGCCTGGGCCCCCCTAAACTCTGGTGTGTGAGGGGAGTGCCTTTCTTCCTCTCAGTTGGGGGCTACATCAGTGAGGGTTTGGAGGTTTGGGTTTTTTTTTTTTTTTGCTTCTCACTTGTGTGCAGCCACCCACTGATTTTTCTGTGCATCAGGGGCCCCCAGCCCTAAAAATGTTCCCCACCCCTGATTTATATAAATCATTGGGTTGGTTCATTCATCCATAACTACAGAAGGAGCTGTAGGTTTCACATAATACTTCTCAGAACTTAAAACAGAAGGGCTTGTAAGATGCAAGGATGGCTCATTGCTCTTATTTGAAACAGAATACACAGATTAGAATGATTAGCATGTAAAGTATTAGCTTTCTGGGTTTGGACTCCTCTATCTGGCAGGAAAGGAAGAGAGGTATATCTCTGTAAGTTTTATTCCAAGGAAATGCTGAATACTGCTGTGCTGGGCACCAATATAAGAACCTGGAAGGATGGACAGATAAGGGTAAACATAGATCTTATCTGCTGAGAATTCTTTTAGGATACTTAACAGAAATATTCAGTATTCTTCTCTTCATTCCTGAAAGGAGGTTATGTTTTCTCTTGGACCATCTCTAAAACATTTTTCTTTTATACAGCGTGTTACATGTGTTTTGTATTTCAGCCAGAAGTAAAACTTGCAATTTAATTCTTTTTTTCATTGAGCATCATGATAAATGTTGAACAAGACTTGCAGAATAATGGCATGACTAAACCTAATCCCAGAATGTACATTTAAAAAAGAGTTTGAATTCCAAATGGTATAATTTACAAAAGTTGATGAAACGTAGTCAGTGTGTTTCTTAAGAATGAAGCAAACTTTGATGATGATAGCTGATGTTATGAGTTCAGCAGTTACATTTGTAGTAGAAGAGTTACTGAGCGAGGTCATCTTTACTTAATCAGTATTTCTTCATATTTTTGGTTTTCATTGTTGTTTTTTTCTCTAGACCCATCTGCTCCACCAGCCCCAACTAATCTCAGAATTGCCAACTCCACTACAAATAGTGATGGAAGTGTAACTGTAAGGGTTATTTGGGATCTCCCCGAAGAACCTGATATCCCAGTTCATCACTATAAAGTCTTCTGGAGCTGGACAGTCAGCAGCAAGTCTGTCATCCCAGCTAAGAAGAAAAGAAGGAAGACTACTGATGGGGTAAGGAGCAAACTTTGAGAATGAGGCACAAATGCTCCTTCTCAGTCATGGTAGACTAAAACATATTTCTGGTTTAAAAAACAAAACTGTCTTGTACTAAATAAATGTGATGTCACATAAAGAAATCTGATGGAAAGGTATTTTTATAAGATGTCTCTGATAGTTTAATAACCAGTTTTGCTTTTTGAAATAAGCATTGTTATTGTTCCATAGACACTAACTGAAATCAAAGGGAGGAGCCAAAGTTGATTGATAACTTAATTGAATCCACATATATATATGGATGGAAATAGTTTAAGTCTCTAAATCCAGATAAAATGGAACCTAGTCCGTAGATATACAATTAATACATAACATAAAAGTATTTCTCTAACATAAGCTTTACTTTACTGGAACCCTTTGAACAATGGATTGCTCATTTAATAAAATGTCATCTGTAGTGTAGCTCTTTTATTAATACAAATGATTTCTGGAAGTGATGTTTCCTCATGTCAGAGTGATTTCTGATGGTTTGGTTATCATGTACGTCCAAGAGAATAACAAAATCCTTCTTACATAATTCTGCTGTACCAATGAAGTGACATATTTCCATAGGAGAAAATTAATGTCAGCTTCTGAATTGATATGTACCTCATTGATTTAATGAAAAAACAGCTTCTGTGACTCCTTAGGAACATTACTTTTTTTTTTTTTTACAATAGCTTAACAGGTGATAGGTAATAGAAATAGAAACAATTAAAGGACAGAGGCAAGACTCTTGTCTCTAAGAGCAATATATTATCAATATATTACAGTCTTGATTCCCCAATGCATCTGAGAATGTAGTGCAGAGTGTTGGATGACAAGGAGGTGATTCCAGCTCTGATCCTCATCCACCTAGCCCTAGGGGAAGTGAGATTTGCAGGGGGCCTATTTAATTTACACTACGACTTAGAACCTACCTAATTCATGGCCATGAAAAATGTGCCATGGTCTGGGAAATCTGGTCTTCCCCCTGTAAAATTTGGTCTTTTCCTTGTCTTTACCAGGGTGGGCAAGAGGAGGCTTGCAGGCCAAATCTGGCCTCACAACCTGTTGGATCTGGCCCGCGCCCACCTTGATCGCACCCTTAATACACCGAGCTGGCTGCTCATTGCACTTGACACTGGGGAGGGACATTGAGGCTTCATGCACTGTCCCCACCTCCTAGCAAAGTTCCTCAGCTCTCATTGGCCAGTTTCTAGCCAGTAGGAGCTGAGAAACTTTGCTGGAGGCAGGGGCAGTAAGCAAAGCCTCCTCCTTCCCTCACTCCCCCCTCCCTGTGCTGGAGCAGAGCCATGTGGAGAAACTAGCTGAGGAGACAGACACGGAGCCTGTCTCAAGTTCCTGCAGGGCTGCTGGCTGGGAGCTGCCGAGGTAAGTACCTCCCAGCCAAAGCCTGCCTCTGACACCCCACCTTCTCACTCCCCCAACTTCTTGTCCCAGGCCACCACCCCCTCCTGCCCCAGGTCACCATCCAAATCCTCTGTATCCCCTCTTCTTACCTTCTCCAGGTCATAACTCCCTCCCAGACCCTATACCTGTTCCTACACTAATCCCTCAGTCCAGAATCCTCTCCTGCACCCATATCCCCTCCAAGACCCTGCACCCCAAGACCCTGTCCCAGATTATAACCCCCTCCGTTAGCCAAACTCCCTCTCACACACCACATGCCAGTCCTCTATCCCAAGCTCCCTTCTACACATTACCCACTATCCCAGACACCATGCCCCCTCCATAGAAGTGTTGCCCTTGATCACTTACCAAAATCTTGGAGTGGACCCCTATTAAGAATTATTGCCTACTCTGGTCTTTACCCTATTCTATACATATTTCATAGGGGAGACCAACATTCTCAAACTGGGGATCCTGACCAAAAAGAGAGTTGTAGAGGGGTTCGCAAGAGTATTTTAAGGGGTGACATTATTTCCACCCTTACTTCTGCACTGCCTTCAGAGTTGGGTGGCTGAAGAGTAGTGGCTGCTGGCAAGGTGCTCAGATCTAAAAGCAGAGCCCTCCAGCAGCAGCACAGAAATAAAAATGGCAATACCATACAATATCACCCATACATCTAAGCTGCTGCCTTCAGCGCTGGGAAGCTTCAGAGATGAGGGCCCAACTCTGCAGGCAACAGTGCAGAAATAAGGGTAGCAATACCATACCATACTGTTCTTTCTTCTGCGCTGCTGACAGTTCTGTCTTCAGAGCTGGGCTCCCAGCTAGCAGTTGCTGCCCTCTGGCTGCCCAGCTCTGAAGGCAGCAATGCCACCAGCAGCAGTGCAAAATTAAGTAGCAGAACTGCAACCTCCTTTACAATCCCACAACTCCTTTTTGTGTGAGAACACCTACAATTATAACCCTGTGAAATTTCAGATTTAAATAGCTGAAATGAAATTTAAGATTTTGAAAATCCCATGACTGGGAAATTAACCAAAATGGACTGTGAATATTTTGGGCCCTAACTATGAGAGAGGTTCAGACATAGTGAAGCTCTATTCCCTGGAATTACTTCTGGAACACCAATGACACATGCTCCATTCCCCTCACACTGAAGATTGGAGGGCATCATGGTTACACCAACACAGTATCCTTATGCAAGGGAAGTTCACTAGCTATTTCTAGCCATGTTTCACAGAACATAAAGTGAAATTAGTGAACCAAAGTTTCTGGGGTTTGGTTTGGTTTTGTTCTTTTTCAATTAAAAGCTTACTTTCAAAGTCCCATGGTAAAAACACCTAGAAAGGAAGGGTAGCATTTCATGGTTTCTCTGCTATCTTAGAACCACTATATTAAATTCCACTGGGTGGCACAGGACTAGAGCTGGCTTATAAAAAGCAGGTAATTGAAGTCTGCAGTTTCCTGGTAAAGTACTATAGGTCAGAGATCTTCAAGCAAAGAGGCCCCAGTACCATGGATCCCTAGCCAAATATGCAGTAAGGAAGGAAATTTGAAATAGAACTGGATCCAAGTGTTATTTTTAACACCATTTTAGATGTATGAGTAGTAAGTATATTACATCAAGATCCGTTAAGAACAGGTAATAAATAATGCCTTGCTCTTATATAGCACTTTTCATCAGTAGATGCAAAAGCACTTTACAAAGGATTAAGTATCATTATCTCAGTTTTCCATCATACAAGCAGACATGTTTTTATGTTAGTAAGTTCAAATTCTGGCCTTAAGAAATGTTCACAGCTTTCTTGAAGCCTATGACAAGCAAGTACTACATTCAAGAGCAGAAATTAGCCCCTGGAATATCTTTCCTTTTATTCTAAAGAGATGTATCTCATTGTGCTTTGTTCTTTTACAGTACACTGTAAAAGTGATGCTGTGATAGCAAGAAAGAGGAAAATTCCTTGATGGAACTCCACTGAAGTCAGTTCTAATCAATGATCCGTTGCATATTAGAATAACTTTTCTAAAAAAGCAAAATTTCACTGTACTAAATTAACCCCATTTCCAGGGAGAGAGAGGAAAGTATTCCTCTTATTTGATAAGATCCTTCAGAAAGTAATTAACCAATTTTACTTTTAGAAGTAAATGAATATAGGTTTTCATGATTACATCCGTATGAAGTCAGTGGAGTTGTCAGCAGAGAATTTGGCCTACAATATTAGAAATGAATAGTGCAATTACATGAACTGGGTAAATCAAGAGGCATAATCAATTTTATAAAGTGATCTTAGAACAAACCTAATAATTATTTTAATTTGCAATAATTTAGATGTACTAATATTGTATAATATATAATGTACAACACTATATGGTTGACACATCACTCCTAGTTGATACAAGAAAGCTTAGGCAAGTTGCAAAAGAATTCAGAGTAAAATATGGCATATTTGTGCCTGGCAAAATATGCAATGGGTGCATTTTTAGGCATAAATATATAAACAAAGAATTTGGAGAGGCTGTGTCTCTTGTTTACAGTCTCATGGGGCTTGCTTTACTTTGTGAATTGTTAACAAGAGAATGAAAATCCAGTTCATGTGCCTCTCCATGCGATGACATTGGAGAACTGAAATGTTGTTGGCTTTTTTCTTTGTTTCTTTTCTTTCTATTACAAAAATTAAAAGCATTCTTGTTGGTTTTTTAGCAACAACAGAAGCAAATTGAAATAAATATTGTTCCATATACCGCACAGTATGTTCCATTTCTGTTCAGACTATCTGTCTCTAGACAAAGCTTCCTTTTGCTTAGCTAATCCAGTCTGTCCAGGAGATGAGGAGCAAAGTTTAGCTTTCATTGGCCAGATTCTTTTTGGCATCATAAAAACTTGTTATAGATATAAAAAAGAAATTTAGTCTTGGCTTAAACAGCTGATGCCTGTAGTTACTAAAGTCTGGCAAATTCTACAGACATCACTAAGTTTAGCATTTTAAAACAACACATAGCAAAACCAAGTCCAAGAGTGAGAAAGCATCAAATAAAAATCAGAAAAGAAAGCAAGTTGAGTTCTGTTGAAATTTATAAATAATTCTTTCTTATTCCAAGAAGAGTTTGTAAGAGTCAGTGTTTCAGTAATCTCAAAATTGTTCAGCATTTATATTCTCTTTCATTATAGTCCCAGAATTATGTGGTCCTGGAGGGACTACAACCCAACAGCAACTACATGGTGGAACTACAGGCAGTAACATACTGGGGACAAGTGCGACTAAAAAGTGCCAAGGTGTCTCTCTATTTCAGTTCAACTCAAACATCTATTAATAGTAAGTAACCTCCTCCAAATTCCTCTTACCCTCTGTTTTAATAGATAATTTCTTAGATTTCAAAAAATTCACCCATTATAAGTGTCTCCATTGAAGCCTGCCTCTGTGGTTTTGGTCAAGTCACTTAACTTTCCTATCTCAGTTTCCTCATCTGTAAATTGGGAATAGTCAGTCTTACATACCTTGCCTCTTTTGAAAAACATAAAAAACCACGTTAAGAGAGTGCGTATTTGCAAGATCAGGCCTGTAGTGTTTAATTAGTACTAAAATCCCCCCAAATACAAACACACACTGAACCTTCCAATAAAAAGAGCAGAAGCAAATCCCGTATTACTAGCTTAACGTACAATTTTCCATGGCAAAAATTTTATAAATGTTGAGAATTTTAAGTAGCCCATAAATTCAGATCTTAGCGCACATTTATATATGCTGTGGATTCAGGCAAAGTAGTTCTCCTACTAGGATCTCAAACTATAAAACAATGTCCCTGGTTGGCAAGAAGTTAATCCCAAACATGTATCACATGCATGGCACCTAGCTACAATATGAAGTCTTGAGGTATTAAGTTCTTTCTTAAACTAAACTCACATGCTAAACAACATAGTGGAAAAATTCTTCAAATCCCAAGGTGCCTATACTGTGACACTCAATCTTAGTTAAATACTCTCTTAATAATACTTTGTCTGAGGCTAAGGTCAAGATTGATCTGCCTTTCCAGTGGCTGATGTGTCATCTGATTAACCACATCCAACCATTGACGCTTATGACAATAATAATTTTCAGGATTAGAGCACAGTTTCCAAAGCTTGCCATTTCCCCCATCTTTGCCCTTCCCATCTTTCATTCCTTTCACATTAGTTTCCCATTTATATTACAAGCAATATGAAAATTAATCACAACAAATTTCCTAATTCTTATATCATTCTGTATTCCAGTGCTGAATATTCTGATTGCTAAGATATTTGGACTGTTCTGCGAGCATGTTCAGTCTATTTTGGATGAAATAAGATATATTCTCTATATACCTAGATATAAAAGTTGACAACCATTCCCCCTCCCCCCCCCCCCCCCCCCCCCCCCGAAGCAGGAGGCAGGCCCTCTTAGAGAATGATAGAGTCCCAGGCCACTTTGGATACGTCTAGACTACACGCTTCCTTCAAAAGAAGCTTTTTCAAAATAATCTTTCAAAAAAGCTTCTTTCGAAAGAGATCGTCTAGACAGCCACCACTTTTTTTTAAAAAAGCAATCTGCTTTTTCGAAAGAGAGCACCCAGACAATATGGATATTCTCTTTTGAAAAAGCCCTGTGTGCATTCAAGAATGCCTTTTTTTCAAAAGAGCTCTTTCGAAAAAAGGCGTTCTTCCTTGTAAAATGAGGTTTACTGAGCTCGAAAAAACTGCCACATTCTTTCGATTTTAATTTAGAAAGAATTCAGTGGCAGTCTATATGCAAGTGAAGTTTTTTTGAAAAAAGGCCACTTAAAAAAAAAAACCTGTAGTCTAGACATAGCCAAAGTTTAGAGGCCCCAGCCTAGCCCCAGTCCCAGGTCCATGATGTATCTGATTTCTCACCCACAGAGTCATACTAAACCAAAAGAATATATGAAAATGAACACTTGAGACATTTATTTATTAACAATTAAGTCATTATACCAATAGTATGTATATTAAAAATGTAACTTTAATTGTGAGTTTCCACTTCAAACAAAACTCTTCATGTTAGGAATGCTTTTCTGGCTTTCTTGTGTGCAAACTCATTTATAATTGAAGAAAAAACTAATTTACGTGCAACATCACTGTCAATGTTAAGCATTGCAAGCCCAAACGTTCCTGTCCCATTATAGAACAATGACAGTTCTTTATTTGTTTTTACATGTTTAGTGTGCATTCACCTGAAGCCAGTGATGCATGGAGACTGACACAAATATGCAATGCAATTGTGATATTAGGAAATTCAGTCAACAGGCTGAGATTGAATATTTCCTGAAGCAATTCTTTTGGCTTTCAGTCTGATTTGAAGTTGGTGGAATGTTTCAGGAAGATGATCTCATCACAGACATCTCTTGAAATTTCGTGGTTGTACCTTTGTTGAAACTGTTCAGCCACTGAATATAGATCTTCATCACTTAGTTCTCTGAACTCCCAAAGGAATCCAAAAACAGTACAAATTTATTGCAGTGACTCAAATCAGTGTGTAAGACCAGATTTGATGGAGTCAATAATAACAAAAAAACCATTGACTCGATAGCGCCTTTCTGCATCAGATTGAGATGTTAGGCTGAGATTGGTAGAAAACTCAGATGAAATGTCAATATCCTGGGCAACTTATTTAGACTCAGAAAAGATTTCATCCTGTAGATCACAAATCTTTTTAATATCTTTAAGAAGTCATTAATTGTTATCCCTCTTAGTTGTTCAGTGTTATCTAATGTAGCAGTGTGTGCTTCAATTACAAGATTAGTTTCATGGATCATTTTTAGCAGCTTCATCCACATGGCGACATTAAAATGCATTCAAATTTGGATGTATACTTCTGAATTCACTTAAGCTCGGTATGAACCTGAGCTGTGAGAGTAAGAGATTCAAGCTCACTTAAAGCCTTTCTCACAGAGTCCAAATGCTATGCAACTGGTTTAATGCCAGTCAATTTGTGCTGACCATCTTGTTGTCCACATGCCGTGAAGGGAAACAGGCAGATGCTGCTTTAGAATTTCCTACTTTCGAGGACTGCTACTGAAGAGGTTGTACAATTGTTGGATTGTTCCAAAGTATGTGATTGCTTCCTTGCATGATTCAACACAATCAATGCTGACAAGATTTAATGTGTGGTTGCCACAAGTGGAGAAAATACAATTTGGATTTTGCTCAAGAAGGACTGCTTGTACTCCGTTTTACTTCTCAGCCATATTGGATTCATTGTCATAGGCTTGGCCAATGCAGACTTGAAAATTTAGTTTGAAGCCTTCCAGAATTTCTAATACAAGAGCAGCTATTTCTTTTCCAGTTTCTTTTTTGTGAAATTACCAAACAAAATGAATCTTTCTTCAATTAAAACCTTTGAACTCCCTGCAATTTTAAAATATTGAACAACCAAGGTAATCAGTTTTCAATAGTATTGTCAGCTAGTGCTGCTCTACTAGCTGATTTCTATGTAACATAGTTATCTTTATGTGATATTCATGTGCAGATATTCAGACTTTTAACTTCCTCCAACCTCTACTGATGTTCCAACTGGATGGATCAGACAGTACTGATTCATTTGAAGTATTACTGTTAAAAATGAAACAGGGTACACAGTACAAAGCCTGCTTTTCCATGCTCTAGTAGAGCCAGTCTCTTGTGTAGATCTCTCCATTTGGAAGACTTTATGTCAGCAGATGTGTGGGGAAAGCATAATTTTCAGCATCTTTTGGTATATTACTTGGATTCTGAAAACAACTAACTGAGAAACGACTGCATTTGAACAACATTGTTCTTATCAAGAAGTCCAATATCAGGTTCTGATGCCACTGTTGTTACACTGTGTCCTGTGTGAGTCATAAGTTCTTACTCTTGCTGTGCAGCATCTCCGAGCTCTTCATTTTCTGCCTGCACAGTCTCTAAATCGAGTGTAGATTCTGCATCTGTCACTACTGCTAGCATTTCTGTGTCTTGATTAATGACCTCCTCATTTTGAGGCAGTGGCATTGAAGTGTCATTTGTGGGTACAAAGTTTTCATTTTCAGAACTGAGGAAATGTTGCTGTCAGTATCGTCGCCATCTAATGGAAGAGGGATCTTTTCTGTGAGAAATGATGTTGTTAACTTTTAACTCTTAACTGCTGCTTCACGCTATTGCTTTTGCCATCTCTTACTTGTACCATTGTCAAATCTTCACTTCGTTTTTATAAAGGAGTTCTTTTAAAACACAATAACACATAATAAATTAATTCACTAAATGCTATTGGCTATACAAAATTTTAATTGTATAGATTTCACAACGAATACTACATCATAATGGTTTGGGGACTATGTAGCCTTATTGCAAAGTCTTGAAATTTCATCTGCTAACATGTTCCTGTTATTAAACTCCTCTAATAACTGGTGTCTTATTATGAATATGAACATTGGACAGTAACAGAATTAATTATGACTTTCAAAACCTCTAAAGTATGCAAAGACTATAAACAGCACTTCATAACATAAAATCACTAATCACAGATGCTACTCCAGTCTCCAGTCACACGGATGAAAACTTGGATGTGACCAAAAATTTGGTGATGGCCCAAGGTCCCACAAAGATGTAAATGAATTTTTTGCAGGTATATAATATATATAGCTTTTTATAGTCTCTGTTATAACTAAAATGTGTATAATAAATGGAAATGACTTGGTAGAAAATTTTCAAAATTTGAGGGCCCTTTGTGTCCTGAGGCCTGGGCCAAATGGTCCTCCCACTCCCTCTTCTCCCACACACACACATCTCTGATAGGGCCTGGCAGGAGGGAGAGACAGATCTGAGTTTCCTTGCCCCTCTGCCTGTAACACACATACATTATTTTTTTTAATGAAATGAGTCAATTACAATTGGATATATGCCCCCCCACAGGATTATTTTGCCATTTTTTCCCAAATCTTCAGACTACATCTGTTTATAGAAGTATCACTGCAGTCAGTACAGGTAAATTGTGTTTGGTTTATGTAAGTGCATAGATGTGAGAAAGGGTTGAAAAATTGTTCAGCATGGCCCAGAACTGCCAGCCCCAAACTTTCAAAAATTATATGCTGATCTCTAAAAATAATCATGAGATTAATTGTAATCAGGAGCAGCCTGAGGAGGGCTGTGGCAGCTGGCGCCCCAGGCAGAACATGCGATTGGCACCCCTGCCTGCACGGCCGTCAATGGGCCGTCAATGGGGTGACATCATCACCGGGTGCCCCGAAGCTCCAAGGCTGCGCCCTAGGTGATGGCTGAGTCAGCCTATAGCCACAGGCCAGCCCTGATTGTAATTACTTAGGGGAG